TGACTCTATTGTCCGTGTTGTTAGATCCGGCCGACATTGCCACGCGATCTAGAATCTCTGTTTGTCGGGAAAGAATGGCCGTTAACGTTTCGTTTCCGGTTGAAGGTGTAATGGTGTCCGAAACCTCGTTCTGGGAACCGGGTCCCATCTGTTGTATGAGCTCGGATTGCTGCTGCAGCAATTGCATGATCGCGCCCGAACCTTCCGGTGTAACATCCCGCGTGGATGATTCTTGCATGCATCGCTTTAGGAGGATTTTAATTTCGCAATACTTATCTTCGAAAAGCTCGTCCTCCCTCATGTCGTCGTCCGTGAACTCGCTTGTCCTGTCTAACAACTGCCTTTGCACGTCCTCGAACTCTCGATGTACCTCTTCCAGCATCTCTAACCTCGTTTCTGCTTGCACCTTGTCGAGGTTGACGCTGATCTCGTCGGATGCGTCCTCTATTTGCCTCTTGATCCTTGTCAGCCTCGCTTTTATGTAGCCTCGTGCCTTGCGTAAATTAACGGTTTCCGCCATTGTCGCTCGTGCGTCGTTTCTCGTTCGTTGAAGAATCCGCGTGGGATCCGGCTCGAAGGACCAAATTTTGTTGAGAATTGCTTATTTCTGGATTGCGTTATGGCCGGGTTTTGGTTGCGAATAAGGAGAATGGCAATTCTTGTATGAGAGTTTATTAACGTTATACGACCGTGCTATCGGACGGTCACAGTCACGGACAGACGTTCCGTTACGCACACTGCCGGCTCGCTCCCGGCTTCCTACCTCGACACTTACATACGGACTTTCGGACAGCGGACTACGGACTCCTACGACTGACTAACTGCCGGCTCGTCGCCGGCCTGTTACATATTACCAAAACACAACAGACATGATAGATGCGCGCTCGACTCAGGCGCTCGTCGCGGACATAACTATTCGCCATCTAGGGGTTACGCAATGACATGTCAAGGCGGTACAATTAAAATTAAAATAACGCTATGGCGCTAACAATATATCGCCAGAAACTCGAAACCAAATTTTCTTAAGTTTTAACGACCTACACTGGCTATAGTGATTTTTGTTGACCGTATCAGGCTATTAAAATTCTTATTGCGAAAAATATTACCCCAACCAGGATTCGAACCTAGGACCTCCCTACAATCCGTGACGGGCGTCTTAGCCAGCTCGACCACCGGAAAAGTCGAAATACACGCGTAAATAACATCTTAAAGTTATATACTTGTTATTGCGAATAGTATTGTAGCGTCCGGCTCCGCCGTCCACACGACACCTCGCGCACTCACGCACTCGTCGGCTCGACTTCCGCTCGCGGCGCACGCCACCGGGCCGCGAAGAAATCAATAAAGATTGGAAATGAACAAGGGAACTTTATTTAGTAAAGAACACACGTCTGTACTCTCCAAGAGCCCAGAGACAGAATCATAAAATCGATAATCAACAACCGCACATCGGTCCTTCGCGACCGATCTTTTAAACCGCCGCGACTTCAGCCCGCGGCTGGAGCGCACTCCCAGGGCGTCGCATCCGAGCACGGGCATAACACTACCCCCCTCTTCTTAAGATTGTCGCCCCGACAATCTAAGCAGGGGGGCAGTGAAATTCTGGCAGCTTCTTTCCGACTTCGAACTTGGATCCCAGACCAGCGTTCCCGGAGGAGAGCCATCCAGACTCCTCCCCCCATAGCTGGTTCCAGGGCATCCTCTTTCCGGTAGCTTCTTTCCTGCATCAGACTTGGATCCCAGACCAGCGTCCCCGGAGGAGAGCCATCCAGACTCCTCCCCTCATAGCTGGTTCCAGGGCATCCTCTTCCTTCCGGAATCCCAGACCAGCGTCCCCGGAGGAGAGTCAACCAGACTCCTCCTCCCATAGCTGGCTCCATGGCATCCTCTTCCTGCCTGAACTCTGCCAAAAAATAACTCCGCACTCTGCGGAACCTGCATGCCGCTCGACGACGTCCTACTTGAGTCCTCTTGCGCACTTGACTCTTCCCTGAGTCGTCTTGTGCGCTTGACTTCGGACAGGGAAGGGGAAACTACACAGGGACCCTTCGCCCACAAGGGCTCTCCCTGTCCCTGCCCCGGCATTCGCCCAAAGGCCGCACGGGAAAACCCCGATTCTAAAAACCGTGGGCAGGGCAGTCTTCTTAATTCTTAAAGAAACTCAGAGCGATCCTCCTTAGAGACCTCATCATCACATTGAATTTTACTAAACCTAAAACAGAAAAACCACTTTTTGAACAAAAATCCAGGGTGTCTATATTTACACGGGCTCCGGTCCCTATCATTAAACCCTTCTTGGGGAATTTCCCGGAAAATTTGACCTCCCCCCATTGAGGTCAATTAGTCCTCGTTTTCTTTTGCGACAGGACACTCCGAGCGGAAATGCCCGATTTTCCCGCAGGACCAACACTCGCGTCCGTAGGCGGATTTCTTTTCGCGCCCGCTCCCGTACTCCAACCCTTCCTCTGTAGCTTTCCTTTCTTTAATAACACCGTTCCCATAAAAATTCCCTTTTCCCCTTTCGAAACTTCCCCCTTGAATTATTTCAATCCCTTTCGCTCTTTCGACGGCCAAATTCAAAGAAAATTCATTCCAATTGAAGGGTTCGCCTTGTAAAACCATCATAGACACCCGAAACAAATTGCGCACATGCAATTTTATCGCGAACGTCGTGGGGGCACTCTGCGTAAGCGAGGCGCGAAAGCCTCTCTAACTCTGTACCGTACGCGGCCAAATCTTCACCGAATTTCTGTTTTCGATTAATAAATTGCGTATAGCAATTTTGGGATAAATATACCTCTCCGAAACGTAACTCGAGCTTAGACTTAAGCTCCGAAAACTCAAGATTAGTCAAATCCTCGACCGTCTCTAAAACCGAACGCGCCTTCCCTCGTAAGCACGAAGCGAGTACCACGGTCTTTGTGGCATCTGCCCAACAGTTCGCACGCGCGATTAGTTCGAACTGTGAAAAGAACTCGCGCAACGAAGTGGTACCGTCGAATGTGTCGGGCTTTATTTTAAACCCGAGCTCCGATCGCGGATAACTGTTACTAAACGCGTCCGCGTTTGCACTTCGCGTTTCGAAATCCCCGGCGGCTCTGTTATTGGATAGACTTATCTGGGAGGTCCGTAAAAGCTGCAGCTCCTCATCCCGTTGGCGAAGCGTCGCTCGAAGTTCTTCCTCCCTTCGCGCCTGATCTTCGCGCATCCCGCGTATCTCCTGCAGCAGTCTTTGTAGGAATTGCGCCTCCATAACGGGCTCCGCAGCGTCCGCTGGGGGAGAACGCGCTCGAGCTCTTTTCCTCCTCGGGGCAGCCGTTGCTCGTCTTCACTCGTCCGATCGGACGAGCCCCCAAAATGTAGCGTCCAGCTCCGCCGTCCACACGACACCTCGCGCACTCACGCACTCGTCGGCTCGACTTCCGCTCGCGGCGCACACCACCGGGCCGCGAAGAAATCAATAAAGATTGGAAATCAACAAGGGAACTTTATTTAGTAAAGAACACACGTCTGTACTCTCCAAGAGCCCAGAGACAGAATCATAAAATCAATAATCGACAACCGCGCATCGGTCCTTCGCGACCGATCTTTTAAACCGCCGCGACTTCAGCCCGCGGCTGGCGCGCACTCCCAGGGCGTCGCATCCGAACACGGGCATAACAGTATTATCACAGCCCCGGTGGTCGAGCTGGCTAAGACGCCCGTCACGGATTGTAGGGAGGTCCCAGGTTCGAATCCTGGCTGGGGTAATATTTTTCGCAATAAGAATTTTAATAGCCTGATACGGTCAACAAAAATCACTATAGCCAGTGTAGGTCGTTAAAACTTAAGAAAATTTAATACCAATAGTACGTTGAACAACAATAGAATAGCCAATAGTGTAATAATATAAATTGCAATTAAAAATAAAATAAAATATTCAAAAAATTATTTTCCTATTAAAAATCAATAGTGAATTCTATTCCTGCTACTTGTTGAAAAACTGATCGCTCAAGGATACCATCTAAATTATCTGAGAAAAACGTTTGTTATAGTTCGATAGAACCGACACCACCAATTCGCAGACGCAGAATGTTGCAGCAAAACATGGTGGTTGTAAAGAACGCTGTGAAGCGTTATGGGAAAGAAGAGTTGGTGCTCGACGGATTGAATATGACGGTTTCAAACGGTTCCATGTATGTAACCATTCTTTGTCTTGTCAACACAAAACATTATTCGTCTTCCTATTAATTTTCGTTTAGACGAATAAGGTTGCACGTAAATATCCTGAGTTTATCAAAAGAACCCCAGATGCTCGCTATAAGAAAGAAAACAATGCAGTAAAGATTGAATTGCTACTGATTAATATAATACTTCAGGTGCAAATTTAAATATTATTCCACAAACCTGAACCTACATCCAACATGTTTTTTATGGATAACTGATACTACTTTCTTCATCTTTTGTTAGAAGTTGCCTGAACTGTCTGTCATCACGCTGTTTCACGCGTACCTTCATCAATTGCTTAAATTGTCATCGTTTGCAAAATAGGAACCTCTTTGGGGAATGGTATACAGGGTGTCACATTTTAAATGATCCACGCAAATATATCTTTGGGGAAGGCGGCTAGCAAAAAATAACCTCAGCAAAAGTTGTTGGGTTTCGAGGGGGAAATAAGATGGTGTTATGAATTTAACCTTGAATACTTGTTTGAAGATTCGTGAAGGTCATCTTCAATTTTTTAAATAAAATCCCTATGGTTTAATACCTATGTTTACCTGGTTTAATACCTATTAATTAGTATAATAAGTTAGTGTATTAACCCTATAGTTAATACACTAACTTATTATACTAATTAATATGAACAACTTTTGTCTGAAACATTTTTTTATTTGCTTAACACTTTTTGAGATATTCAGGAGAAAATTTATAACTTTTTCAATATTTAGCTTATGATATCTCAATTGTAGGGAAATGCCAAGAGAGAACCCGTAAAGTTCCTCACTCATGCACCCTCGTAAGACACGCGACAAGGGAGGGGTCAGAATAACTCTATCCGTAACTTATAACGGACTTTATTATTCGTATAAAAGAATGCTCGGTGACCATACGCTATGCGAGTCGGCTTAAGACTGACTGCCGTTTTGTCGAAGCGAGAAAAGCGGTCCGGGGAAAACAAAATAAAATCACGCTTCGGTTTTGTCTGCCATCGAGCAGGACGCGGTTGGCAACCAGTGCCGTAGTTATGTGCATGGCAGGGCGGCGTCCGCCACACAATAACTATTTGTCGAAGGGAAAAGTAGCACAGGACTTTTTTACTTGATTTTGTCTCAGGATTTTGCTGTTGCAATAGTATTCCAATTATTAAAAATTTTTGTGTAATGTAACATATATGTATAAAATTTACATAGGTTCAAGCAGTATCTCGTAAACGAAATATTTTCATCAAACAGATACGCGCTGTTGGGGGCTAGCGGATGTGGCAAGACTACCCTGTTGTCCTGCATCGTCGGAGTACGTTATCTCGACAGTGGAGTGATGTGTGTCTTGGGGGGATCTCCGGGCAGTATGGGCTGCGGAATTCCAGGGCCTCGGGTGGGTTATATGCCGCAGGATACCTCTTTAGTCGAACAATTTTCTACGAGCGATGCTCTTTATTACTTCGGCAGGATCAATGGGCTTGACGATAAAGAGATCGGTAAGATACCGAATATATGGGATAAGAAAACTTGTAGTTGTTGCGCGCGAAATATCACGTAAATTCTGACAAGTTTTACTTTTACTTTCAAGTAAGTCTTTCAAGCGGTTTTAATTTTGTCTTGCTCGAAAGATATTCTACTATGTCAATTTGAAACAACTACAGTTTATCCATGTTATTTCCAAGAAACGAGACATAGGTTCTTCTCGGAATTATTCCAACTGCCTCCATCAAATCAGTTGGTGAAGAACATGAGTGGAGGTCACCGAAGAAGGGTTTCCTTTGTCGCCGCATTGATGCATAAGCCCGAACTTCTAATTCTCGATGAACCCACCGTAGGTTTGGATCCAATTTTGAGAGAAAAGCAAGTAGAGTTGGCTCCTTTTTTAGACGTGATAAACACAAAATATTAAGAAAATGTTTGGACGTTCTTTTTTACAGCATTTGGGCTTATCTGATCAAACTAACACAGGAGGAAGGCACCACCGTATTGATCACGACGCATTATATCGAAGAGGCTAAAAAGGCTAATAAAGTGAGTCGTCATTAGATTTGTCTTAATAATATTTACGACTGTATTAAAAAAATAGCGAAACTTCGTTTTAAAGAAAGCGCCAAAAATTTTGGAGAAATGTTTTTATGGCCTGGTTTACATCGTGCACTTAAGTGCACGTATCAATTGATACCACGTATGAAATAGAGCACTTGAACTGTTCGGTTAATGAGTGAACCAGTTTACTAGTTGTTACTATTTGTTATTCATATTAAGTGCACGATGTAAACTAGGCTAATAGCTATATTGGTATAACTTCATTGACAATCAATGTTCACATGTCATTATATTACATATTTTACAAACCATATGCATAAAAGAAACGGACTGCGCGTTAGTTACCTTTCCCATGTTGAGAAAATATGCAAACTTTAAGAAGAAAATGCATAAACTTTAACCACCCAAAAACAGAAAAAATTACAATTTTCTAAGAAAAAATTGTTAGGGCTAATTCAGGCTGTTAAAGGCCCCGATAAGGATGATAACAGGATTTCTTCAAAAGGGATACCCTACTATTGTCATGTCGGGGATTTATTAAATATTGTTAAGAATCCCCTAGTTTAACGAATTAAGGGATGCTCCACTATTACCACATCAGGGCCATTTTGATATCATTAAGAATGCCCTAGTTGCACGAATTCCCTTATAATAGTGTATGATAAACATTAGCCTGAATAGTACTAGTACCACTCACTGCCGCGACGTGGTGACCGCGCGTTAGGCTTCCTCGCAAGTATAATAAAAATCATCACTCATTAGTATAAAAGGCGAGCTGATTATGATTTGGCATCGAGTTGTCTGAATCATGGATAAACTCAATGGTCCGAATATACTTTTGCTGACTATATAATTTAACACAATTAAAGAATTAGTTTAAAATTAAATTTTATTACATTTCTGTTCGGTAAGCTTCAATTAAGGATAAGAAATAATATTTTGAAAGGGCCTGATTATGTTTTCTTATGAGGTCCTGATAATATTTCTTTAAAAGGTCCGAATAATATTTCCTTACAAGATTCTTATAAACCATTTATTATAAACTTTTCAGGGGTCTGATTATTTGTTCGTATTAGGACCCAATATCACGCGCAGATTGAAAGACTGGAAAAAATGTTGGCATAAGTATGGTGTAATATACAGGGTGAGGGAAAAGTACCGGACCGGTAAAATATCTCGAAAAATATGGGAGATACGGAAAAATGTTTCAGACGAAAGTTGTACGGTTTTAAAAGGGCTATATAATGGTGAAATTAATGTTCCAAAAAATTAATTTTTTATGATTATATGGAGGTCGCCGCCATTTTTTTAAATAG